CCAACACCACAGTTCAAAAGCATCTATCTTCCTTCACTCAGTATACATCTAAGATATCCCAAAAGTCACCATAAATAAGGAAAATGGGAAATGGTTGCTAGATGTACTTTGAGTACAAAATATTAATTACAAAATTTTACAAAATATCCTTTTTCTTCTCTCTCTCTCTAGAACTATATATGGAGACTTTTGGGCCATATATACACACACATATAAATCATAGAATCATCACAGGGCCATCCAGTCCAACCAAGAAGCAGGAAAATCGCATTCAAAGCACCCCTAACAGATGGCCATCCTGCCTCTGTTTAAAAGCCTCCAAAGAAGCAGCCACCACCACACTCCAGGGCAGAGAGTTCCACTGCTGAACAGCTCTCATAGTCAGGAAGTTCTTCCTATTCAGGTGGAATCTCCTTTCCTGTAATTTGAAGCCATTGTTCTGCGTCCTAGTCTCCAGGGCAGCATAAAACAAGCCTGCGCCCTCTTCCTTATGATAGCTTTTCACATATTTATATATGGCCATCATGTCTCCTCGCAGCCTTCTGCAGTCTAAACATGCCCAGCTCTTTAAGTCGCTCCTCATAGGGCTTGAACATTTTAGTCGCCCTCCTGTGGACACAAATATAATCAATGATCTGGTCCCTGACCTGTAAACAATATTTAAAACATACCAGTTAAAATTCATGTAATTTATGTTGCTATGCTCGATTTATGCTTGTTGTCATAGATAATGGAAGTTCATAATATTTTAATATCTTAAATTGTTAATTTCTCATTTGTTGACGTTCATGTTCACATTTTGTTTGTTTGTAATTGTATTGATTTTTACATGTTGAACAAAGGAAATGCCTATTAAACATCAAATTACATTATGATTTTACAAATTAAGCACCAAAACATGATGTTTTACAACAAATTGACAAAAAAAAGCCAATCAATACATGGTAATGTTATGTTATGCAGTAATTACTGCATTTACGAATTTAGCACCAAAACAGACAAAGGTTCTTGCTTTCTCCCACCCTGGACATTATTCCACAGGTAAATATACACTCGACTTCCCACACCTGTGGATCCAGGAAGGAGGCAGGCTGCATTGGATAAACCAGAACGTTGGATGAGCGAGACTCTACTGTGTGTATATATGAGGTAAAATTTTCCCCTGACATTAAGTCTAGTTGGGTTCAACTCTGGGGGGGGGGGGTTGTGTTCATCTCCATTTCTAAACCAAAGACCTGGCATTATTCGTAGACACCTCCTAGGTCATGTGGCCAGCATGACTGCATGGAGCGCCATTACCTTCCCGCAGAAATGGTATCTATTGATCTAAATAAAAATATATGTTTTCTTGAATGTATCTTTAATTTTATATATACACTTTTATTAAAGTTTTCCAACAAAGTACTACATGAAAAAAACCCCACAAGTACACACAAATTGGGGGGAAAGGGAGGGGAGGAAAAAAGGAAAAAAGAAGAAAAAGAAAGGAGAAAAAAGAAAAAGAATTGAAGACCTTTAGTGACTTCCCTTCTACTCCTTTGCGGTTATTTTCTTAACTGTTCAATAATAATCTAAAGTGCCTCTTTACAATTAAAATTGTTTAACGTCCATCTTTAATTAATCGAATTTCTGCCTGGTTGTAAGCTGCCTTGAGTCACCTTTGGGTTCGAGGAAGGCGGGATAGAAATATCGTAAATAAATAATAAATACATACTCACATTTGCGTGTTTTCAAACTTCTAGGTTGGCAGAAGCTGGGGCTAACAGCAGGAGCTCACCCTGCTCCATGGATTAGAACCGCCAACATTTCAGGCAGCAAGTTCAGCAGCTCAGTGTTCTAACCTGCTGCACCACCAGGGGGGCATTTTATATATATACACACCCACATATACTACACTATCTTTCCATCTATATAAATAAATTGAACTATAATATAAAATATAATATTTGCCAATTTTCCCTATATATTCCCTACTGGCTGTTAGGAAGTGTGGGAGTTGAAGTCCAAAACACTTGGAGAGCGAAAGTTTGCCCATCCCTGACATATATGGAGACTTCAGGGATATATATACTAGTTGTCCCCTGCCACGCGTTGCTGTGGCCCAGTCTGTGTATATGTGTTTTGTGTGTATATATGCATATATGTGTGTGTATATATTTTTGTATATATGTAGGTAAACAGGATTTCGGTTTCTTTGTCAGTGTTGATGTAGAGATTGTCTGGTTTGCCCACCCTGGAACATGTAACATATAATTGTCCTTCTTTAGGGGTTTCTTTCAAATCTATGATACTATATCTCTCTGTGTGTGAATCATATCTATCTATGTCTATGGCTGGATGGCTCTTTGTCAGGAGGGCTTTGATTACGTTTTCTTGCCCTGGTGAAGGGAGTTGGACTGGATGGTCTTAAGTATGGGGGTTCTGTGTGGGAAGTTTGCCCCAATTCTGTCATTGGTGGGGTTCAGAATGCTCTTTGATTATAGGTGTACTATAAATCCCAGTAACTACAATTCTCAAATGTCAAGGTCTATTTCCCCAAACTCCATCTGTGTTCATATTTGGGCATATGGAATATTCGTGCCAAGTTTGGTCCAGATCCATCGTTTCAGTCCACAGTGCTCTCTGGATGGAGGTGAACTTAAACTCCCAAAGTCAAGGTCAATGCCTACCAAACCATTCTAGTGTTTTCTGTTGTTTATGAGAGTCCTGTATGCCATGTTTGGTTCAATTCCATCGTTGCTGGAGTTCAGAATGCTTTTTGATTGTAGGTGAACTATAAATTCCAGCAACAACAGCTCCCAAATGACAAAATCAAACATTTTTTGAGTGAAGGACATACATTGGGTTGTTAGGTGTATGCTGTCCATATTTGGTGTCAATTCGTCCAGTGGTTTTTGAGTTCTGTTAATCCCACAAACGAACATTACATTTTTATTTATATAGACTAGCTGCCCCCTGCCGTGGGTTGCTGTGGCCCAGTCTGTGTATATGTGTTTTGTGTGTGTTTATATGCGTATATGTATGTGTATATATGTATGTTTGTGTATTATGTGGTTTTGTGCATGCATTGTGATGCATTTTTTTGTTTTTTGGCTTTTTAAGTCTCATCTGCTGTGCTTTTCAATGTTTTTATGAGTGATGGTCACTTGTTGGCCTGATCGATGTCTTATGTCCAAATTTGGTGTAATTGCGTCCAGTGGTTTTTGAATTATGTTAATCCCACAAACGAACATTCCATTTTTATTTATATAGACTAGCTGTCCCCTGCCACGCGTTGCTGTGGCCCAGTCTGTGTATGTGTTTTCATCGAATCGTAGAGTTGGAAGAGACCTCATGGGCCATCCAGTCCAACCCCTTGCCAAGAAGCCTCTGTTTTGTGTATATATATGTGTGTGTATATATTTGTGTATATGTGTGTTTGCATATTTATATATATACACACAAAACCATATAATGTGGTTTTGCACGTGTGTTGTAATTTTTTGTGGCTTTTAAAGTCTCTTCTGCTGTGTTTTTCAGTGTTTTCATGAGTGATGGTCACTCGTTGGCCTGATAGATGTATTGTGTCCAAATTTGGTGTTAATTTGTCCAGTGGTTTTAGAGTTATGTTAATCCCACAAACGAACATTGCATTTTTATTTATATAGAAGATGATACACACACACACACACACATATATAAATATAATCAATGGTCTGGTCCCTGGCCTGTGAAACAAGCGGGGGATATGTGTTGTCAAAGGCTTTCATCACCAGATTGCTGTGAGTTTTCCAGAATGTATGGCCATGATCCGGAAACATTCTCTCCTGACGTTTCACCCATATCTATGGCAGACATTCTCAGAAGTTGTGTTGGAAGCAGTCTCTCCTGACATTTTGCCCACATCTATGGCAGACATTCTCAGAGGTTGTGTTGGAAGCAGTCTCTCCTGACATTTTGCCCACATCTATGGCATTCTCAGAGGTTGTGTTGGAAGCAGTCTCTCCTGACGTTTCGCCCACATCTATGGCAGACATTCTCAGAGGTTGTGTTGGAAGCAGTCTCTCCTGACATTTTGCCCACATCTATGGCATTCTCAGAGGTTGTGTTGGAAGCAGTCTCTCCTGACGTTTCGCCCACATCTATGGCAGACATTCTCATAGGTTGTGTTGGAAGCAGTCTCTCCTGACATTTCGCCCACATCTATGGCAGACATTCTCAGAGGTTGTGTTGGAAGCAGTCTCTCCTGACATTTTGCCCACATCTATGGCAGACATCCTCAGAGGTTGCGTTGGAAACTAGGCCCCTACATTGGCTGTCTTCAGAAAGAACTTGAAGACCTGGCTTTTCCGATGCGCCTTCCCAGATTAGGAAATCTCCACTACCAAGTCCCATAAGCACCTTATCAGAACCAATGATTGCTGCACATCGCACATTGCACTTGCCCTAGAAGCCTTATATACACCTCCTGTCACATCAGCACTTTTAATTCTTGTACCCATTACTCTGGCCCGGCCCAGTTTTATTGTGTTTTAGTGTATTGTGCCTGTTGTTCATTTTGCTTTATTCTGTTTTGTTTGATTTGCTTAGATTGTATTGTTATGTTGTGTGTTGAGGCCTCGGCCTGTGTAAGCCGCATTGAATCCTTTGGGAGATGCTAGCGGGGTACAAATAAAGTTTAATAATAATAATAATAAAATGGGGTTTATATATCTGCGAGGGATATTTTTATCTGTCATGCTGAGAAATATACTTCAGTCGAGGCCTGTCGACTCTGGGAACACACCATTTCCCTTCCCAAGTAGGTTGAGTCACACTCCTCAAGTACGTTGAGCCCAAACTGACAGGACGGGGAAAATCTCTCGGAGAAGGCAACAACAATCCCGCGTCGTCGCCAGCCTTCGAAAGCGAGCGAGGAAACGTGACTTCTGGCATTTATAAGACGCGGGGCGCGCTGATTGGCCGCCGCGGAGGATAGAAGCCCCGCCCCCTTTCTGACGCCGCGGCGCCATGTTAGAATGAAGCGGAGAAGCCGGAGAAGCGGGCGGGAGGAGTGGCTGTTGGCGGTGTCGCGGGGGGCGGAGGAGGAGGAGGAGGAGCGCGGAGTGTGTGGTGCATGGCTCGGCGGGAAGGGAGAGGCGTGCTTGATTGCGTAGTGTGTCTTAATGGCGGAGGCTTCGGCGGCGGGCGGCACGGAGAAGGCGCCGAGGCCGCCTCAGCGGGCGGAGAGCAGCAGCAGCAGCAGCAGCAGCGACCTCCCGGCAGGAGCCGAAGCGGAGGCCTTCTCACAAAATGGCGCCCGCCCTGAGAGGAGACGGAGTGGCGACGAGGAGGAAGCGGCGCTGCTGCTGCTTGGCGGGGGCCTCTCCAAGGCCGCCGCCGAAGACCTGCCTCTGAAGAGAAACTTTCAGATCCCCAGGAAGAGTCGAGAAAAGAAAGGTGGTTCCTTCTCATCCTCCCCTCCCTCCCTCCCCTCCCTCCCCATGTATCGGCCAAGCGATGGTCCTTTCCAGGGAAAGAAAGGAAGGAAGGAAGTCCTGTGGAGAAGGAGGCCCGCCGCGTTCCTGATGGAAGAGGCTGTGAGGAGGCGGAGAGACCGCGAAATGGCCTCCTCCCCCAAGCCCACAGAGAAGACTGTTTTCTGAGGAGAAGATGGCTCCCTCCTTCCCCCCTCCTGCCCTGGAGGGGGAAAAGCATCCGTTTGTTCAACGCCTTCCCGCCTTGGTGCCTCTTTGGGACGGCCTTTCCGTTTCCTCTGGAAAGTCTCTTGCACGTCCCTCTTGCAGAAGGGGGAAAATAGCTCTCAGAGGAAGTTCAGTCCCAGAGCCTAGCCTTACTCCTGTTTGGTCTTTTGAGGGATGGGTGGCCATGTCCTTTTGTCTCCTGGTTGAGAGGCAAAGCTGCTCACAACGCAGAAAAAAGTAGGATGTAAAGGTCCTGCACCCTGAGAATCAGTTGAGTCTTGAGGGGTCACTTCCTAGTACAGGCATGGGCCAACTTGGGCCCTCCACATATTTTGGACTTCCAACTCACACCATTCCTAACAGCCTCAGGTCCTTTCCCTCAGGGGAAAAGGAAGGGGCCAGAAGCTGTTAGGAATGGTGGGAGTTGAAGTCCAAAACACCTGGGCCATGCCTGTGCTAACTGTTCCTTTCTTTAGCTTCTCCGTTAGGCTTCATCATGAATCTTTTTCTTCAGAGATGTCACAAATTCTTTAACCTCAGGAAAGGGATGTGACCTCCAAAGAGGTTTGCGTTGTTGTGGCTTACCTCCCGTGCAAACTCTTCCACTTGAGTAGCATTAAAATGCAGGGTGTCTCAAAAAGATGAACTCAATTTGAAATTGCGATATCTCCCACTGTGGATGGAACTCTTCCCACTTGAAAGAGTGGGGCCTAAAGCTGCACGTGATGGCTGCTAGAGCCCTCCCCCAGCGCACAAACATCCCCTGGCCTCAGTCTTTTGCAAAATGGCGAGTCAGCACAATAATGCCTAACGAGATATCCTCTGTTTGCAGAGTTATTTTTAAATAGGTTTTGGCTCAAAATATTAAGTAAAAGTTGATAACTCATCAAACCATTTTTAACTTTGTGTAATTGTAACATGTCGCCATTGTGAAATATGCTGCCTGCTTGAAAAAGTGGGGCATAGAGCTTATGATGGCCGCTAGAGCCTTCCCCCAGTACACAAACATCCCCTGGCCTCAGTCATTCGCAAGATGGCAAGTTGACACCATAAGATCTAAAGAGATATTCTCTGTTTGTGGAGTTTTTATTTAAAAAAACAAAACCATGGGTTTGGTTCAAAATTGTTAGTAAAAGTTGATAACTCATCAAACCATTTTTAACTTTTTGTATAATTCAAACATGTTGCCATTGTGAAATATGCTGCTTTGAAATTGTGTCCATCTTTTTGAAACACCCTGTCAGAAGGCCTTGCTCTGTAAGGAGAAAGCCAAGATTGGTTTGGTCCCTTCCTGAAGTTGATGTCTCCTTGAAGTCAACATGAAAACATCACTCAAGTGGCATAATAGATTGAGGATCTTTCATCATTATCTTCTGATAGAAAAAATAGATCAGTTGCAAATGTTTTGTTCATAACCATTTATTCAGAGGAATAACAAATTGACAGAGCCAAAGGGAATCTTTCTATTTTTACTAATATCTGGTGCTCTTATGAACACTAATCAGACTGGTTGTAAAAGTTTGAACTCTGCTACATATGAGAACTTATTTTTTGCATGATTGTTTCCTGTGGCAGGGCTTCTTACACTTTCCCACTTATGACCCCTTTTGGATGGAGACATTTTCACGTGACCCTAGGTGTTTATGTGTTTAAAATAGGTACAAGAAATCAACATTAACTTATAACAAACAAAGGGTTGCTAAACAGATTGATTTTCCTTTTGTTGAAATACAGTTGAGGCATCTTTTGCAGAGTCCACTATAAACACTGCATAACAGATTCTTGTAAATGTTTGAAACAGCCACTAGGTGGCTTTTAGAAAACTCACTGTGGCCAAAGTTTTTCAGAACCCCAACATTAAGCTGTTTGTGGTCAGGACCCACAGTTCAAGAAGCAGTGTTCTATAGCATGTAGTGTGATATATTCATCCCAGTGGTTTTATAAGAATTCTCTTTACATTACTGATGAATGCACATTGTAGGGACTGATTTATTCTGGCTGACTAAATGAACTCAGTCTTTCATCAGCTTTTTTCATAATTGTAAACTTAAATTACCAAGAGGTCTCTCACAAATCACTTAGATCAATTTGAGTAATAATAGAACATTATACTGTAGACCAGTCTCTCATGTCACTTCTTGACTTTAGACATGGTCAGTAGTGTATTATGAAGTGTAACCATCTTAAACAAGTGCCCCTCATTGCTAATATATTTTTCAGAAGTAAACAGTGTTTAAAAAGATACAATTTTTCAGTAAAGAAGGTGATGCAAAGTGGTAGGAAGTTAAAAACGTAAGCAAGTATAGAAATAGATATTTCATATGAAAATGTAAGACCAAAGTACTGGGGTACTTTGATGGCGCTTTTCCTGCATGGCAGGGGGTTGGACTAGATTTTTATTTATCGTGTCAGCAGCAACCAGACATTTGTATTACATTTTTAACAAAAACAAACAAACAGACAAAACACAAAGTTTGCAAGCTTGGTAGTTGATTAAATGTCCTTTGACCAGTTGGACTAGATGGCCCACGTGGTCTCTTCCAACTTTATTATTCCATGATTATGATTCTATGACCATGGAGACAAAATACCTTCTTTCAGAAAGCACTTGAGGAAAGCTTTCATATACTTTGGCAATAGAAGGAATACACATTATCTGCATGTTTTATGTAACATCCATTTTTTTTGTTAAATTTGCATCCCAGCTTTTTCTCAGAAAGCTCAGGAATAGCTTTCTGTGTGGCAATGTTCAACTATATCGATCTGTTTAGCTTTGGAATTAAAACTATCTAAGATGTCTTCAGACCAGGGTTATCAAACTCATTTTCAACTAAGGCCACGTAGACCTTACGGTGGTTGCCTTCAAAGCACCATTTGTAATTGTAAGACAGTATGAAAGTAACTATATTGTCCTGGTATTGAAAGTCTCCCCAGCCACATAATGTAACATGGGGGCGGGTTTCTGCTTGCAGGCTTTGCGTTCATTTCATGTGCTTTAGACTGCTTTGCCACTGAAGATTTCTCTTAATGGTTGGTTTTCCCCTTATCTCTTCAAAAAGATACTATAATTTGTGGTTTGACTTAAGAAATGGCTTTAAAATATAAATTAGAAAACTAGAAGAAAAAATTAGGCAAATTGCATCTTTCCACACATTGCTGACTTATACAGCACTTGATTCTAATAAGTAATATATAGAGCATAGTATTATAGGAACAATGCTATCATGAAATCCAGATAATAATGGATAATGTTTGCAAAAACAACTAAACAGTAAAAATGCTAATGGAAAATTCATATATAAGTCTTTTCCTGCTGATAGTTTGCAGCAAGTCATAACTCCTTGGTGATATAGTAGAATCCCCTTAGCCACAGTTTCATTTAAGTATACTCCAAAACATTCTCTCTGATTTGTGGGACTATATCAGTGCAATTCTGTGTTATGCTTCCAGGTCAAGAATTGTCAAAATATAGGATTTACTAAAAGTAAAGGTTTCAGCATGACTTTAAGTCTAGTCATATCTGACTGGGAGGTGAAGCTCAACTCCATTTCTAAGCTGAAGAGCCGGTGTTGTCTGTAGACACCTCCTAGGTCATGTGGCCAGTAGATCAAGTGCCATTACTTTCCTACAGAAGCGGTATTTTATTTATTTATTTAAAGTATCATATGCCGTGTTTCTCACCCCTGGGGGGACTCAAAGCAGTACCTATTGATCTACTCACATTTGAATGTTTTCGAACTGCTAGGTTGGCAGAAGCTGGGCCTAACAGCAGGAACTCACCCTGCTGCCTAGATTTGAACTGCCAACCTTTTGGTCAGCAGATTCAGCAGTTTAGCGGTTTAATCCGCTGTGCCACCAATAATTTCAAGTAAACCCTTTTTCCATAGGCTTAGGGTAGTGCAGTTGCATATTTAGCATAGTTTGATATTCCTCTTATGATTTGGCTTGCTTGGAAAATGCAGCAAACAAGGAATCTCCTGATCTCCAAAATAAAATAACAAATCCACTTTATATAAATGAAACACTTCTGATACTTCCTGTGTGCTTTCCGTAAATTGCTTCATACTTGAGTTCTAAAATTTCAAGAACACGAAGAGCATGGAGCTGTTTGTGGGAGGACTTCTTGGAAGTGAAATGAGCCTTGCGCCAGTTTGCTCCCTCCTGTTTTCTTTATACAAATAGAAAAGCTTGAATAAAGAATGGGGGTTGCATTCCGCTATTGTGGAACCATCACTGATTAGGTATCCCCGTGATATTCTTAGGGACACACAGTCACTGGCATTATAAGCTCTCATTTTTGGTCATAGGTTATTTAGAAGTAACATCAACTTTTCCTTGCATATTGAAGGGATATGACTGGCTAATGACTTTGGAGTAGTGGTTCTCAACCTGTGAGTCCCCAGGTGTTTTGGCCTACAACTCCCAGAAATCTCAGCCAGTTTACCAGCAGTTGGGATTTCTGGAAGTTGAAGGCCAAAACATCTGGGGATCCACAGGTTGAGAACCACTGCTTTAGAGAAAGCCAGAGTGGTGTATTGGTTTGAGTGTTAGACACCAGCATTTGAATCCCCGCTCATCCATGGACCTAGGTGACCTGGGCAAGTTGCACTCTCTCAGAAGAAGATGAAAGCCACTGCCCTCTGAACAATTTGCCCAAGGCAGCCCCAATGAAAAGTTTGTCTAAAGGTCAGAAACACAAGAAATGGCTCCAGAATGTTACCGTGTAAACATAATAGTCTTCAGTAACAGAAGATGAATAAGTCAAAAGAAATGTGATATGGATTTATTTTTGCGAATAACAAGTGTGTTAATGCATACCTAATGTAAAAAATAAAAACAAAATTCCCTATTTTTTTGCTAGCTATGTTGTATAATTTATTTGCTTAGGCTACAGTATAATTTAGAGCAAGTTCTGTTATACTTCACTGTTACAAGCCTGTTAATGTTTTTTTTTTTGGGGGGGGGGTCATGATTCTAATGTTTACTATAGGGAATGTCAGATCCAGTGAATGATATAGTTATGTTATAATGGGGTCAAAGTTAATGAAGAATTTATTTAAATGCATAGCTTTCTCCCATAGAATACTCATTTGGAGCAAATACCAACTGCTTTTTTAAAAAAGTAAATGCTTGATGTCAAGATCTTTCTCTAGTACTTGCATAACCATACGACTGGAAAGCGCATTGCAAATACCATTCAACTCTTTTGGAAGCAGCTAACAGTTTGGATTTCTTAAAGATTAAAAAGTTGAATAATAGCATTCATTTTCAGCTGGGTTTTTTCCAGTTGTTTATACTGCATGTAAAATCAATGTAATAATTTAGTTTGTTTACTAAACAGTTTGTTTACTAAACAGCAAAACAGGCCTTCACTCATTTGAAGGTAGCAGCAAACTTGTGTATCCAGCTTGTTCAAATCTACTTTGAGGGAGTGAGAACACAAGCTAGAAAAGGGAAGATGAACCAGGCTTGTCGTGCATGGGTCCCAAACAATTAGGATTTATAAACAAGGAAAAATCCAGACACACAAAGGTATAGAAACCCTAGCTTGTTAGGAGCAGCAGACCATAATCCCCAGTTTGAACACTGCATAGTTGCCCATTTCTAATTTGTTTTACCTATTTCTTCAAAAAAGAAAGCAAGCTAGGAATGAATAACATATCTATACATGTCTTGTTCACAATGAACCAGGATAATTGAGAAATATTTGTAATACTAGTCATTTAACAGTACAAGCAACATACACCTGGATGTTGAAGAGATTTCTCATTATCTTTATGTACAGCACTTTTTCAACCTCTAACAAAGGAATCTCGTGAATTTGAAGATGTCGTGAACATTTTGCATTCATCATATTTGGAAGTCCATTCAAAGGACAATTTCATCTACAAACAAGCTAGTTTGATTCATAATGAACTTTTTGAAAAGGAAGTGAGTACCTCTTATTTATACACAATAAAATATCTAAATTCATACAGAAAACTGGTATTTGCATTCCTTACGGTCTATCCATTTGATGCCTAGGTGATTGCTTGGAAGTTTATTAATTGAAAGTGAGCTTATGATTTAATTTGAAAGACCTATTTATTTCTCCAAATTTTGTGTGTGTGTTTTTAAGAATAATAAAAAATCTTCAGTAGTTAATTAAGTTATTTGCATATCATATAGGCTTTAGTTCCTTTACTGTATGTGTTATAAGCATACTTGAAAGAATGGAAATCTTTAAAGAGAAATAATACTTTTTTTGTGGACCTTTTGTGTTTATGTGTGTATGTAAGTAAACATTTGTATTTTTTAAAGTGTTTTTTATTTTTTTTTATTTTTTAATTTTTTAATTAAATTTTATTTCAAAAAGATAATACACCAACCATATATGTTGCAAAAAAGTACACATACACAAACAAACACACATACACAAACAACCCTCCATACAGTTACCCCTCCACCCACCCCCAGTGCTACCCACCACCTTGACTTCCGTCACTAATCCACGCAGGATTTATGCACAACTTATTTAACCCTCTATACTTGTAATTCAATAAATTCCTCTTGTTTTTATTTCTTTGGCTCTCCCGTCAAGTATGCTAAGGCCAACTTCCAGTTTCTTTCAAATATTTCATTATTTTCATATTTCAAATTGCTTGAAACCTTAGCCATCTGTGCATAATCCCACAATTTATCCTTCCAATCTTTGATGCTTAATGTTTTCTCCCCTTTCCAATTTTTGGCAATTGTAATGCGTGCAGCCGCAAAGCTGTACAAACAGATTTCTCTCTCTGGCTGTTCTAAACTGTCTCTGAATATCCCTAATAGGCACATCCCTGGGTTCTTTTTTAAAGTTGTACGATATACTTTACATCACCTAAGCTCACATCACTGAACAGTCATATCGTTCAAAGTTGTAACTTTGTTCATGTATTTTAGTTGTAAGATATGTTATAAGTTGCTTAGCATAGCTTTTTTTTTAAGTTCATAGAGAAACGAAGAGAGTTGAAAAGAGATGGCCGATTGGAAAAAGAACTGGTTGAAACGTATGCATTTCTGAAGGTCGACCGTGAATTGGTGAGACTTATTTTAATATGTCAATACTAGCAGTTATACCTTTTCTGGTTCATGTGGTATCAAAGGAAGGTGAATAAGTTGTCATTGGGAAAGGAAGGCTTCTACTTTGTGGCTTCACTGTGGGTCCAGAGAGCCAAAGTGTTCTGCATTGGATTAGAAAATTCCCAATGCTTTTCAGTTTTTCAAGACAAACATATGAAAACACCATAGCTTTGAGGATGCACTCGGAGGTGAGACTATGGAGAATTTTGGCTGGTTGATGCAAACAGCCTTCTTACAACTGTGTTGATGATTTTGCATTTGTTCTCTTGCAGTTGCTGTGCCTGTGCTATTCTGTTATATTCTGTGCTGGTATACACTCACTGAGAATCTGTTTGTGGGGTGTTGATGTGTGAAGAGGGAAGCATTCTTGCTGATTAAATTAAACTCTGGCATGCTACTCTAGATCTGGTTGGGATCCTAGATTTGGCAGTATAGTGAATTTGTACTGCTCTCCATTGCACCAGTTGTCAGTTTAGCACTTAGGGGCTGGAAATACACGAAATGTATTGTGATGTTTTGCTTCTTCACAGAAAAGGTCTGTTATGTATAGAGAATATGTGAAATTTCAGCTTATGACATCTTTTTGTGGAAATGAAGTACATGTCAGGTACTTAAACAGTTTGCATTTTTCTTTTTGGAAATTATTTTGAGTGGTACATTAGAACCCAAACATATTTATAAAGGAGGCATTCACTCTATTTTTCTTAAACTATTTCAACAATTGTATAAAAATGCTTTCTGTTACTTCTTCCTCTAGAAGGAAGACTATAAGGAACTAGGCCAGTCTTCTTTTATGCCACTTTTTCAACTGCACTAATTAATCCCAGTTGGCTAAGCACGTTTTTGTTAACATTGAATACTTTCTGCTCTTTTAGTAGGCTAAATATTTATCTGCTGTCTAAGGAGTCAAATGCAAGGATTCAGAGATCTTAGCAGGTGTTGGTTTCAACCAAACACTGTGGTTATGTATGGCATACAGCTCTCACAGTAGTTAGAGTCTCTAACTTTGTGCTGTGTTCATAAACTTTGTGCATAAAATACAGTGTGAGGTCAGGCAAACTTTCTGGCTCTTCTCTCTGGCTGTCGTCTTGTGCTTAGGATTCTGCGCAAGAGTTTTTGTTGCCCTCCTGCTCAGAGCTGTAAACATGTAAGTGCTTGTTGATTGCACATTTTATCTGGGAAGCATAAATGTCTTCCGTTCCTCTCAACAACTTAGCATTGGAGAAAAGTAAAAGTAGAGGCACACTGTTTTGCTATGCCTGAGTACACAGCTATTGGAGAGACAAGAAGATCCATCTCTGACTTATTCCTATAAATCAAAAATGAATAAACAAGTTGGAAACATATCAGTTTCCTCTGCCTTTGGAGCCTGTTAGGCTTTTTAAGCTTGAAGAGTTCCGCAGAAATAGAGACATATTCCCTGTTCCTACGTCTTCTAATACAAACTGTCCCAAAAACACCTTGGAGATCCACAGACCAGGCAACACATATTTGCCTTTCCCCTCCAGCTGAGAGCCAGGGGGACCATTTGAAGTGTTGTTCCTTTCTTGTTTTCGATTTTAGTAAAAGATATACTGTTTTAATGCAAGCATCACCTTATATCTACTGATACCATAAGTGATGTGAAAAAATTCTCCTACTTTCATTGCTGAAAATGCAATAAGTATAAGATTAGCATTACTTGCTGTTCAGTATCTAATGCTATTTGTATCTATTACCAGGATTTGCTAAACTATATTTTTGCTTCTAGGTGCAAAACATATGTGAAAACGGATTGCAGGCAGGCCATTCCAAGATAACAGTTCTTGGTAGCCCTTCTCGAGGTAACTATTCTGTTGATCAAATTAGTAGCTTAGTAGTACTAAAGGTCTAGCAAAAGAGATTTTACTCCTTTTCTAAGGACTAGGAATTCTACTCTCGTTCTCTTCCTAAGCATAGTGAAGTACAGTTTTCTCTTGGTTCTCTATAGTTGATCACCTGGTGTTTTCATATATATTGGCCAGCAGGATTGTTGTACCATTGAATTTAAATGCATTTTACAGTAATTTGTTGGTTTGTTTTCTTAGTGAAAGTATGTTTTCTGAGATTTATAATGAAGAAACATCTTGCAAAATCTAATTTTTCAATCACCGAGATTTGATTTGACTACCATTGGTTGTAAAAAATACTTGTTTTTTATAAACATCAGTACTATCCTTTCAGATGGAAAGGGTTTTAATAAAATATATTTTATAATACTGATGCTTTTAACATTGCTTTTGCATTATTAGAAAACAGGCCTAATGCTAGTATAATTTCAAACTATTATGACTGTTCGTTTTTTCCTTGATATTTGTTCTCTGTACATTTGCAGGTGTGTATCTTTCCAGATATGCCGATTTATTGCAAGCTAATCCTTTGGATGCTAAAGCAACTGGTGATATTATTATATTTAAAGTAATAATGGTAAGTATAAACTGGATTCATAGTAAGTATAAATTTGGTTTGCCCAACATACATTACTGCAAGAATGTAATATTTTCTTTTTTACTATAGTAATCCATTAGTATGGAGTCCTTTCCTGTACAAAGCAACCATTTTTCTGTATAAATGAAATTGCTGTATTTTAAAGTTTACCATTTTATTTATTTATTGGATTTATATCCTGTTCTCTCAGAATGGAATTCAAGGAGTGAGTATACATAATATCTGTAGAATCATAGAGTCAAAGAGTTGGAAGAGACCTCATGGGCCATCCAGTCCAACCCCCTGCCAAGAAGCAGGAATATTGCGTTCAAATCACCCCTGACAGATGGCCATCCAGCCTCTGTTTAAAAGCTTCCAGAGAAGGAGCCTCCACCACACTCCAGGGTAGAGAGTTCCACTGCTGAACGGCTCTCACAGTCAGGAAGTTCTTCCTCATGTTCAGATGGAATCTCCTTTCTTGTAGTTTGAAGCCATTGTTTTGTGTCCTAGTCTCCAGGGAAGCAGAAAACAAGCTTGCTCCCTCCTCCCTGTGGCTTCCTCTCACATATGTATACATGGCTATCATATCTTCTCTCAGCCTTCTCTTCTTCAGGCTAAACATGCCCAGCTCCTTAAGCCGCTCCTCATAGGGCTTGTTCTCCAGACCCTTGATCATTTTAGTCGCCCTCCTCTGGACACATTCCAGCTTGTCATAGATGAGTTGCCTACGTGGAGGTCTTAAACTTGAAAAAAGCACCTGTTTTGCCAATAAGAAATATGAAATTTGAGTTGGTTAGTTCCTTAATGAAGCAAGTTTTAACTTGGCTAAAATTTCGTTAGTGGTTTGAGTGTTGCACTACATCTTTGAAGACCAGGCTTCAGATTCCCACTGAGGCATGGAAGACTTGGAGAAATCACAATGACTGAGCCCCAGAAGAAGGCAAAGCCAAACCCCCTTCTGAATAGTAATTGCTATGACACCCCCCCCCTTCCCAGTTTTAGGGTCTGCATAAGCCATAAAAAACTTGAAGGCATGCAACAACAAAAGTTTCTTTCTCCTTGATATTTCAAAACTTATGGGGTAGAGAGAAAACAGAAAAATCTAAAATCAGGCTCTTTGTTGTAACCAGTGAATTTATATTGAACTTATTTCCCAATATGGAGCTTGCAGGCTGGAAGAATGAGCTTTTGATATTCCAGAAATACCTTTAGAAATGTGGGATCACGACTTAAAACATAGTAACCAAAGATGTATAATGGTCTGTTAACTTTTTGAAGAATGGCAACATCAGTTCTTGCTACTCAGGATGGTTACTAATAATCTCTAGATCAGAATGTAATGTGCCTCTGCAAATGAGTTCTGTTAGAATGTACACAATGCCCTACTGGTGGGCTTCCCATAGCATAGCCATTTTTGGAAAATGATGTTACATCAGGTATCTCTTTATTCTCCTACAGCAGTGGTTCTCAACCTTCCTAATGCCGCGACCCCTTACTACAGTTCCTCATGTTGTGGTGACCCCCAACCATAACTTTATTTTCATTGCTACTTCATAACTGTAATCTTGTTACTGTTATGAATCGTCTACAATCAAAGAGCATTCTGAACTCCACCAACGATGGAATTGAACCATCTTGGCACACAGAACTCTCATGACCAACAGAAAATACTGGAAGGGTTTGGTGGGCATTGACATTGAGTTTTAGAGTTGTAGTGAACCTACATTCAGAGTGCACTTTGGACTCAGACAATGATGGACATGGACCAAAGTTTTCACAAATACTCAAGATGCCCAAATGTGAATACTCGTGGAGTTTAGAGAAACTAGACCTTGACATTTGGGAGTTGTAATTGCTGGGATTTATAGTTCACCTACAATCAAAGAGCATTCTGAACACCACCAACGATAGAATTGAGCCAAACTTCCCACACAGAAACCAACAGAAAATGCTGTGTTTTCTGATGGGCTTTGGCGACCCCTCTGATACTCCCTCATGACCCCCCTAGGGGTCTCAACCCCCAGGTTGAGAAACACTGTCCTAGGAGGAAAAGAGGAAGGAAAAAGGGAGGGAGGACGAGAAGGATGGAAGGAAGGAAGAGAATAGAGGGAGGAAAGAAGGAAGGAAAGACTAAAGGGAAGGAAGGAAGGAGAAAGGGTGGAAGGGTAGGATGGAAGGAGAAAGAGGAAGAAAGAAAGGAAGGGGAGGAAAGGACGAAGGAAAAAGGGAAGGAGGACAAGAAGGATGGAAGGAAGGAAATGAACAGAGGGAGGGAGAAAAGAGAGAAGGAAAAGAAGGATGAAAGGAAGGAAGAGAATAGAGGGGGGGAAGAAAGACTAAAGGGAAGGGTGGAAGGAGAAAGAGGGAGGGGAGGAAGGAGGGAGGGAGGGGAGGAAAAGGAAGGGGCCTGAGGCTGTTAGGATTTCTGGGAGATGAAGGCCAAAAAACATCTGGGGACCCCAGGTTGAGAACCACTAGTGCAGTGGTTCTCAACCTTCCTAATCCCGTGACCCCTTAATGGAGTCCCCCATGTTGTGGTGACCCCCAACCATAACATTGTTTTTGTTGCTACTTCATAACAGTCATTTTACTACTGTTATAAATCATAATGTAAATATCTGATATGCAGGATGTATTTTCATTCACTGGACCAAACTGGGCGCAAATACCCAATACACCCAAATGTGAATGCTAGTGGGGTTGGGGGAGGATTGATTTTGTAATTTGGGAGTTGTAGTTGCTGGGATTTATAGTTCACCTACAATCAAAGAGCATTCTGAACTCCACCAATGACGGTATTGAACCAATCTTGGCACATACGACTCCCATGACCAACAGAAAATTCTGGAAGGGTTTGGTGGGCATTGACCTTGAGTTTGGGAGTTGTAGTTCACCTACATCTAGAGAGCACTGTGGACTCAAACAATGATGGATCTGGACCAAACTTGGCACGAATACTCAATATGCCCAAATGTGAACACTGGTGGAGTCTGGGGAAAATAGACCTTGGCATTTGGGAGTTGTACTTGCTGGGATTTATAGTTCACCTACAATCAAAGAACATTCTGAACTCCACCTACAATAGAATTGGCTCAAACTTCCCACATGGAATCCCCATAACCATCAGAAAATACTGTGTCTTCTGATGGTCTTTGGCGACCCCTCTGACACCCCCTCACGACCCCCTCAGGGGTCCCGACCCCCAGGTTGAGAAACACTGCCCTACAGTATGAGTCTTACTTTTTTGAGTGAGATTGTTATAGGTCTTAGCTACATTGCAGATGCAGTGTGTTGTATGTGTCAACTTTCTAATTGTCATTTTGTGACCTTTCAGGGGAGAACAAAAACTATATATGATAACTTGGGAGGAAATCAAATGGATTCAAATGTTAAAAGTGCATTGGACCCTACACCAAAATACGAGTGCCATATTTCAAAGAATGCAAATAGAATTACTTCGGTCTTAACTTATAGAGCATTTGAACGCACACAGGTATGAAAATGACAGTTATTTTAGCATAGTTGCATACAATTGTTAATGTCCTTCAGTCAACTTGGTAAATTTTATATAATAGTTCAAAGGCAACTCTTTCCAGCATTTTCTGTTGAGAACTACTCAATGTGAAGAGTATGTTCTGAGCACTTCTTTGTTTTGTATAGATTTCTCTTGCAAGTTTATTGTAACTCACAACTCCACAATACAAAGAGTATTTAGGAAAAACAGCATTGCAGTTTAATTTCAGTAGCCAAATAAAGGAGTTTTAGAATACTTTAAAATATATTAAGTAAATAACTTACAATGTAGTAGCTATCTTGAAAGTTGAGTTTATCCTGCATTTGTTTCTAGTATTACTTTTATGAATATGGCTTTGATGAGATCAGACAAAGACCAAGGCATGTTTGTCCATATGCGGTTGTATCGTTTTCCTGCAAAGGTGAAAAGGCACAGAAGTATTTGTCCCAAGCAAGGTAAGTTACAGGCTGATTTTTCAAAAAGTAGTATTTAGTGTGCTTGATTTGTTAACATACTACCGTATATTCCGGCATATAAGACGACTGGACGTATAAGACGACCCCCAACTTTTCCAGTTAAAATATAGAGTTAAGACGACTCCCACGCATAAGACTACACCCGCGTATAAGACGACCCCTGACTTTTGAGAAGATTTTATTGGGTTAAAAAGTAGTCTTATACGCCAGAATATACTGTACTTTTATCGTTTTCTGGTCATGATTGTTTATGCATAGTTCAAGCTTTTGATGAAAAATTCATGTTGGAAGTGTTCTAGATCACTTGTGAAGAATTGTCTATTTAAAATACATTGACATATATAAATTTAACCAAAAAGATCCCCAGAGTACCCTAAATTGAGTAAAAATGCAACAGTAGCAAAAAAAAAGAAAGAAGAAGAAACCTTAATCCTGAATCTCCACCAAAAGAACAATTGGAGATTAAGAAAATATCAGGATTAAAATTAGGATCAAAGAAGCTAAAATATTTAGGAGTATGTATATATAAGAGCTGAAGAGTATAGTTAAGGGGCATTACGAACAAAAATGGAAAATAATAGAGAAACAACTTAAGAACTGGGAAGGGAAAACATTATTTATTATTATTTATTTAGCAGTTTTGTATACCGGTCTTGTCACCTCCGTTTGAGGGGCTCAGGCCCTCATCAATATTACAACATCAATATTACAGACAGTCATTAAAACATCATATTCTAAATCACACTAAAACATTAAAATAGCAAAATACAATCATATAATTACAGTGGTCAGTCATCAAAAATCATTATTTGTCGTCATCCATCCATGTCACAGGATCATGGCTCATTTGTCGAATGCCAATCCCCAAAGCCAAGTTTTCGCCTGTTTCCTGAACGTTAACATAGAAGGGGCAGTTCTGATCTCCAGTGGAAGGGAGTTCCAGAGTCGAGGGGTCACCATCGAGAAGGCCCTGTCTCTCGTCCCCACCAGCCGCGCCTGTGAGGCCGGTGGGATCGAGAACAGGGCCCCTCCAGACGATCTTAGCAATCTTGATGGTTCATAGGGGAGGATACGTTCGAACAGGTAAATTGGGCCGGAGTCGTTCAGGGCTTTATAGGTTAAGACCAGCACTTTGAATTGTGCTCGGAAGCTGACTGGCAGCCAGTGGAGCTGGCGCAACATTAACAAGAGTGCACAGAATAAGGGCATTGAAAATGTTCATAATACCAAAATTATTATATTTATTCCAAACCTTACCAAACACAGTAGAGAGGAAGACGTTAAAAACATGGGATAGAAGAATAAAAATATGGGCAGTTGGAGGGAAAAGACCCAGAATAAGGGACAAATGGTTAAATGCAAAAGAGGAAGAGGGAGGCTGGGGAATCCCAAGTTTGGAAGTCTATCACGATGCATTTCAAATCCAAAGATGACTGGAAATACAGTATACAGAAAAAAAATGGGTAAATATTTAGAAGATAATAAATAATATTAAAGGAAAAGAATATTTAGGGAATGGAAGAGGAGAAAGGAAACAGAACTTAAGGAACACTTTAAAGGAACAGTAAGAGTGTGGGGAAAAAAAGAAGTTAAATCCAGGCAATGAGAATAAGATGGCAACTATATGGCAAATGAATTATGATAATGATGAAATTATATGCAGAACATTGAGATTAATTGAAAGTAGAGGGAAAAGGTTAGTAGACGATCTATATACAGAGGATGGGAACCCTGTAGAACAAAAAGATTCAGAATTGGATAGGGCCAGGGAATTGGATTCAAAGCTGGGCTATAAAACAGGAAATTTTTAGATGGAGGGGAAAAATTAGAGAACAAGATAGTCCATTTGAGAAGGTGATTAGGAAATGTTTGAGCGGGGAGAAGAAAGTGGCAGGAGATCTATACAACCAAATCATAACAGTAAAAGAAGAAATAATAGAGGAGATTTTCAAAACATGGAGAATGAACATGGAAATTGAGTGGGGAGGTATTCAAAGGGAAATAAGTAATATAGCAAAAGAAAAGTATAAAGTATTAAGGGAAGCAAGAAGGAAAATGTTACAAAAATGGTACAGAACTCCTGCACAACTTTCACGCTTCGTACCAGGGATAAAAGATAGGTGTTGGCATGGTTGTGAACAAAGAGGTTTGTTTAATCATATGATTTGGGAATGTGATCAAGTGCAAGAATACTGGAAAATGATTGAAGGAGAAATCAATAGAATGTTACATTTACAAATAGTAATGGTTAATAGAAATGTACTACATGCACGGATAACAGGAGCAAAGAATATACAAAAGGAAAAATTGGTTGACAAATTAATAGCGTGTGCACAAATTGTTTTAGTGAGGGGTTGGAAGGATAAAACAAAATAGACACTGTCTAATTGGTATAACTATATAGTTAATATGTTAAATGTGGAAATAACAAATTGTAAATGGAATAATATAGATAAAATTGAAAAGGTCACAATAACTGAGAGGATGTGGGAACCAGTTAGGAATTATTTAGAAAATGTTCTAAGATGTGGAGTAGAAAAATTAAGACTGAGACTGATATTTCAAATGTAACTTCTGTAGTTTGATGTATAAATTGCATATACAAGGAGAGGAAGGTGGGAGTGGGAAAAAAAAACAAAACAATAAGAAATCTTGGTCATGCTGACTTAAGCATTGGAATGCTAGTGTTTGTGGAATCCTGCTTTACAGTAATTTTTTTAAATTAAGCACACACCTTAAGAATACCTTGAAGTTTTTGCTCATTGTCCCTACAAAGAAGTCACTGACACTCATTCATAGTTGTAGAAAAAGTAAAGATACTGCAGTTTGACATCATTGAGAGATCCTGTTCCAGATACAACTGTGATCAGGGCTGGTCCCCATCTTCAGTGCCATAGTTATTTGTCTTTTACTTCCACAAAATCATAAGAGTTATTTCTCTTTAGCTGACAAAGTAAATACTAATTTGTTTTGGTCTTGAGAATTGACAACATCAACACTTTTATCAGATTAAAATCCTACTTGAGAAATTGTTGTTAGAGCAGTCGCCAAGGAAGAAAGAGCCTAAGTCTTTGAATTCATAATCACAACTTGTGATCTGTTAAGACAAAAGTAATAATAATAATACATATGATTATATTAATTTATACCTGCTTTATCTCCCCAAAGAGATAATGTCTTATAGAGTGTTAGGTGATCAGTGGTTTGTTGTCAGTCATGGTACTCTATGAACTATCACAGAGGTTAATATCTTCTGGGGAGGCCCTGCTCTTAGTCCCACCTGCTTCGCAAGTGTGGTAGGTGGAGACGAAAGACAGGGCATTCCCAGTAGTGGCTCCTCAGCTCTGGAATTCTCTCTTCAGTGAGATTAGATCAGTGCCATCCCTCCTGGCCTGAAAAAAGAAAACAAAGACATGGTTATGGGACCAATCTTTTGATTGCCAAAGTAATGCAGTGCAAGAAATAAATATAGAATATGTGCAATCAACATTTGTAATGACCCTGGTCTACGAGTTTAGACCGTGTGATTTCAATCATTATATTGGGTGGTTTTAATTTTTATGTCCTCATGTCTAAATGTTGTTTTATCTTATGTTTAATTGTCTTACTGATTTTAATGCACAGTTATATGTTTTGTTTAGATTTGCGATTTAGTTTTATATGTATGTGAGGCATTATTTGTTGAAAATTGCTTTGAGGTGAAAAAAGCCGTATATAAATACAGTAAATAAATACATTCACGCATGCATACATACATACATACATACGTAATACAAATCTTGTCAGTAAACTAGTTTTGCACTTTCTCCACACTTATTCAGTGATGCTGAGGGAAGGCAGAGAAAATCTTCTAGCAGTGAGCATTCTATTTCTCCAACACCTTAGTTATTTTCTGCTGTACCAACAGCTTTTTCTCAATTCTTCCCCCTGCCTGCACTGGCATGTCTGTGTTAGGACTTAAATCTACTACTTGATACAACTAGAAGTTTAAGTTTAAATTCTGTTGAATAGTCATTTCCTTAAGAAAACCCATATTCTGCAGCAGTCATGTTAATTCAAGGTATACTTGAACAAATTGTGACTATGAAATGTTATGTTAAAAGCTAAAGACTGTAAAACATATATAATTGAGATATGTAGCATATAACAAGTCATTAATCAAGATCATGGAGGGGAAGCTTTATGTGATAGGGAGCCCTATTTATAGGTTTTGATTTTAACTTTGTTTATTTTGTTTATAGATCAAAAATTTCTAATGTGGACAAGAGTACTGGTAAGAATACAATTATTAAATAGAGATATGGGTTACTATTTTGAATTTTAACATATACCATATGTTTATGGTACTTCCAGACTTGCCTGGTGAGCAAATCCTTCTTTTTCTGTGTCTACCCCTTTCTTGACTCTCTTAAAATTTATGGTAAATGGTAAATAGTTACCTTATACTACAATAGAATAATAGATGTTAGCCTTTTAATTTATTACCCGAACTTTCTGCAAGACAAATGAAGAATTCAATAAAAAATGTATTGCATTGAGCAAGAATGTGGAGCATAAGCCTGCCATTGCTTTTTTGCATACCAGTAATAGATTTATGTCTGGAGAGAGTGAATTGAGTTAATCACTGATCCACTCAGGGGGTGAAGAATGTGCTGACATCATTTTATAGAAGATGTACGGCTCTAAAATGGGCCCTTTTGCAGTGGGTGCAAGTCTCTTCTAAAATGGATGTTTATAGTTAGCTAGTAGGACTTCAGAGACAACCTGAGAGAAAGAAGTGTGAATCTACTCAAGCTGAGAGAAGATTCATGAGTATTACAGAAGTTAGGAAGTACTCAGGATAGTTCTGTACGTCATGCAGTCTGTATATCATGCAGAAATTGACTCAGAGGAGTTGGTGTGTAAATCTTTGTATCACTTTTTGACCAAGATTTGCCAAATTCAAGTATTATGGTGAACACTAGCTATTGTGAACAAGAAAGTCATTAAGAATGTTCAATGGCAGAGGAGAACCTTTGGATGCATAATCCTAACAATCAAACCTACATTTGATCTTCATGTCTGAACTGCGCCAATATGAGAAGCCTATGGAGTTTATTTGTCAAATATATATGAAAATATCAGTGCGAATTTTCATAGAACACCTGAAGGTAGATACAATCTCAGTAAAATTTGCTTTAACTGGTTTCTCATATGGAAGGAAATGTATCAGGTCACATTTTGGACAACCTAAATATGAATACTTTGATTCATGATGGGAATGAATTATTAATGTTCATTATTTCAGGTGGAAGTAGACTAGTTACACTTATCCCGCCATAATACTGAGTAGAATCAAGTTAAACACTATGGGGGAATGTGTCCTTGGTATCTGTCTAGTTCTAGCTTCAGATTCTGTGCCACAAATACCAACTGTTGAGTTTGTTTCCACTTTCTTTCCAGTTTCATGTGTGTTTATGGGGATTGGAGCCAGTGATACTTCATGAGATGATCACTCTCCTCCCATTTTAAAAAATCAGAAATGTATGACCAACATTTCCAGTTTTCATTATTTTTATCCACGATTATTAAAACATTTTCAGTGAACAATTATTTGAGTATAATAGCATTTGTGATTCAGGGTGAGCTAATACAATGTCATATTAGACTTGGAATTGGCATATGAAGAAAATCTGATTGAAAGAATGTTCAGGTTTATTATTTTATAACCACCGACCACAGTTTGAATGAAGCATACAGAAGTTGCACACATGCTAAAGGACAAGCATTGTTTGCTTCCATACTGAAGTGGAAATCTGCTATTTCGAGGGTTGAATGAAAAGTAATGCCTCCACCTTTGTAACTTAACAGATTGCAGTACTAGTATGCAGCAGGTACTGGCTTGTTCAGTGGACTCACCTCTACAGTTCCATTTTGGCGGGGAGCCTTAGCATTGAACGGTTGTGTTGTTAAAGTGCGAAGTATGCAACCCTGCGCAGACAGCTGGTCAATGTGACTTAAGCAACGTGCAGTCATTGAGTTCTTGACAGCAGAAGGTGTCACCTCAAAGGGTTGGACATCCTGTGACAGCAATCACAGAGTTTCTCAAGCAAAAGGTTGACAGATTGATTCAGGATGATCGTTCTATCAATCAGAGAGAAATTTCAAGTATAATCAGCATTTCACAAGAAGGTGTGTGTCACGTTATTGCTTTGCTTGGTTATTGGAGAAAATGTGCACAATGGGTACCCAGGATGCTGCTGCCTGAAATGAAAGCGCACAGACTTGAAATTTGCCAGGAACTCCTCTTGCGTTACGAGAATGAAGATGATGCCTTTCTCTATTCACTTGTGACAGGAGACAATATGTGGGTACACCATTACGACCCGGAGACAAAGTGTCAGTTTGTGGAATATTGACACAAAGACTGACCCCAGAAAAAGAAATTCAAGACACAGCCCTCAGCTGGAAAAATCATGGCAATAGTGTTCTGGCATGCAGAAGGTGTTATCCATGTTGATTTCCTTGAACGTAGAACAACAATACATCATAACGCTGCAAACTTTGAAACAACGGCTAACAAAGGTCTGAAAGGAAAAGGGAAATGTCTTGCAGCATGGCAATGCCAGACCACACACTTCACATGCCACCATAACAGAACTTCAGAGACGATCTCATCAGCATACGGCAGTGGTTCCCAAACCTATTTGGTCTACCCCCTGAAAATCAATTTTTCTAAATCTTCTCTTCTTTCTTTTATGCTTTCACCACCCCTTTACAGTTATTCATCGCCCCCAAATGCACCTGTGGCCATTACTGCTCCCCCGGATTGCTGCAGTGCCCACCAGGGGGCAGTAATACCTGGGAATCACTGGCGTACGGCATCCTCCATACAGTCCAGTTTTAACACCATCTGACTTCCTTTTGTTCCCGATAATGAAAGAAGATCTTCAGGGGCATCATTATGCTTCTGATGAAGATGTTGAGAGGACTGTGAGACACTGGTTGCGGAAACAGAGTGTCGACTTCTTCCATGACGGCTTCAGAAAACTTGTTCATCGTTGGCAGAAATGTATCTAATTCTCTGATGATTATGTGGAAAAGTGAATAGTGATAGTTAAAGAGTACATTCTAAGGATTATTTCTGCGTTTGATTTATTAAAATATTCGCATCCAAACCCAAGTAACAAAGGTGGAGGCATTACTTTTCATTCAACCCTCGTAAATTGGCTGATAGAGGAAAGACAGAGCTGACTCCCCACCCCCCACGCCAACCTGGCACGGAATCAAAAAAACAGGAGAGAAAGAATGCTGAGAGCTTGCTCTTCTCTGGAATATTCTATCCACCAAGAACTGTAAATTTGCACATATGCAGTTCCTGTTTCTCTATGTATTTTTAATATATAATAGCCTTTCTAGTTCTTGATATTGCCAATGACGTTTTTATGTTGTATATAATTACTTTAAATAGGTGATGGATTAAGTTTGAGAGATTCCTAAGTCACGTATGATATTCTTTATATCTGCAACACATTTTCAAGTGAAATTTCAAGTTACATAGTATTACAAAAATTGCTGTTGTGTTTTTCATGTAGATAAAACAAGTTATACCTTGTGGAATGGGCAGCTTTTAAACAGAGGGACACTTGTTTGCCATGCTGCTCTGAAATCAGAAACACGGCCATTGCTTCCATGCAAACTGTAAGTATTAACAACTCAGAAGCAGGCTTAAAATCAGTCTTGGTTAGACTATGTTTTGTCATACTATGAAGGCGTTGTACATTGTCTATTGCTTGCTTGAATATTTTAAGGTTTTTATTGTACAGTTTTGGCTCTACTTTAAGATGCTGTCAGAAATAAAAAAAACCCAATATTTGCTTAAAATCTAGTTAAAGAAATCTTCAATTATTTTATTCCTTGACCACTAGTCCTGAAAAACTTGATGTTGATATGGTTATGAGCATTGAAAACCTGAAACAACGTTTCTCAACACGTGCCCTGCAGAAAGAAGCGTATTCAGGACAAAGGGAAGGTAAGACTTACCATAATAAAGAAATCTTACTTGTTTAATATGATCTACCACCTTTTCACACAAAGTATTTTTGCCCCGTATTGCTGTTTTGCTTCGCAGCAAGGGCGGGGCTTGCTGTGCACCATCACACGATGCATGGCAGGCTCTGCCCACTTTCCTCCACCAAAAGGTGCTCCCTTTTGGGAGGAAAGTGTAGTTTGGGTAGCTCCAGTGGAGCTACCTGCACTTTTCCTTCCATTTTCCCAAAAGATGGCAGAAAGGGCGGTTGCTCTTTATGCCATCTGATGGGAGGAAAAGAGTGCCAAAGCATCCTCTCCCATCCCCCTCCATGTGATGAATAGAGGAGGGAGGGGGCGTGGGGTGGCTTGTGGGGTGCACCGCACACCCTCCTTTTCACCAGCTAGTGCAATGGCATGGCCCAAAAGGGCCGTGTAAAGAGGTCCATGGTCAGTATGCAAGTTAAACAGATAGTATGATAAAATGCAATCTTTCCTGGCACCCCTTTTTAATTGGAAACCATTCTATTTCTCCAGGTAATGTCCTTACTGTAGCCTCTTATTTTGATCACAGGTTACACATCAGGATAATAGTATGCTATGGCACATCCATTTCTATAAGAATGGACTATGCAGTAGTTTTTCATGATCTATGCAATCAAAGGTTTTGCTGTAATCTATAAAACCTAGGCTGGTTAATATTTAACATTCTGTGGTGCATTCCATTATCCAGTGTATTGCATATGATCTCTAGTGCCTCCCTGAATCAAGCTTGTACATCTTGCGTTTCTGGCAAAAGCTTTTGTATAATTTTAAGCATCATTTTGCTTGCCTGGAAAATTCATGTAATGATTCTGTGGTTACTGCAGTCCCTGCTGTTTCTTTTCCCAGGAACTGGAAAGTATATTAAGTGTTTCTGTTGGCCATTGTTGTTTTTTCCCCATATTTGTTAAACATACTTTATTTAGAACTAGATTAAATTCAGATAGGTTGAAACATCTGTATCAGTATTCCACCTGTTCATGGTGATTTCTCTCTCTGAGTGCAGCATCCACCACTTTCAAAAATTGTTAGGTTCTTATCTTTGAATGAATATACCATGCTTTCATCCTTCTTATGCAGTTCTTCAGTATATGCTTTCCATTGACTTTTTGTTTGTCCTTGGTCATGTAATGTGATCCCCAGCTGTTCATACAGTATTTCAACTCTTGGTCTCTAGTTCTATACATAGATTATTACACTATGTAACAAAATTTGAAAAAAAATGTTCCTGGTTTAAAAATGTTATTTCCAGTCATTCTCCCCCCTCTTTATTTCAAATATTGTAGCGATGAAAGTGCTGGACTGGTGCCTAGAATTTGTAATGGGATGTACAAGGACATATGTGAAGGAGTGTGTGTTCCAAATCCTTTAAGAGTTAGGAGCTCTCTGATAAAGAAGCTTTTTCTGAACCCCACTCTCTGATTCAAAGATACTGATACGGACTGCACTTCTATTTTGTTCATCTCACCTGTGATTTGGCTCTTGTGTTGTGGTAGTGTCATCACCATCACCTGTGATTTGGCTCTTGTGTTGTGGTAGTGTCATCACCATTTTATGGTGTTTTCAGTATCATTCATGTCCTACAGATGAAAAATATCAGAAACAAATAGGCATTAGGTGCCTCGTTTGCCTTCAAGAAGGGCACAACACTTGCATATGGCTCCACATCGCATACCTCTAGGTCAGTGGTTCTCAACCTGTTGTTCCCCAGGTGTTTTGGCCGACAACTCCCAGAAATTCCAGCCAGTTTACCAACTGTTAAGATTTCAGGAAGTTTAAGGCCAAAACATCTGGGGACCCACAGGTTGAGAACCACTGCTCTAGGTTAAAAGCAATCCTTTTGGAGAACGCTCCAAAGGCATTGGATATGGTCACAAAGAAGAGATCATTTCATACATCTTCAGCCACAGCTGCTACAGCTTGACCTCCAATCTTCTTCCCAAGTCCACTTGGTACTGGCCATGTCAGCTTCATCCATATGAGTTGTTTTGAAGTGATGACTGATGAAAAAGTTATCCTCAAACAAGGGACCTGCTCAATTCAGGAAATAGTAATAAGAATTCTAGGATGCTTGTCAATATTACTTCTACCACCACAATTATAAACACCATTCCATCTTTTGGCAACAGGCTCAACAAGTACGATTGTGCTTAGGTCTTGATCATCTCAGATTCATGGATCCTGGAGGTTGTCATGAGATGATATGCAATAGATTTCTGGAATCCTATTTAACAGGGATTTTTCGCATTCTTCACCCATGATCAAAGAGGAACTGAACAACCTTTTTCTCAAAGATGAAATAGAGCCTATCTAATTCATCTGCATTGAGGGTTCTGCTGTTTAATTGTGTCAATAAATGAAGTACTACATTCAGTTCTTGATCTTTGAGGTGTGAATGTGTGTCCAGCACAGACGTTTTAGAATGCTCACCCTCAGCACTATCCTTACCCTGGGACAAAAAGGCAATCCCATGTGCTGTGCGGATTTGAAGATGCTTATTTCAATATTTCTGTCAGACCAAAAGGAAGTTTCTGTGTTTTGTTGTGGAAAAAGGGGTTTACCTACCTTTCAGCCCATGCACTGGTTTACATGTGTTTGCCAAGTGCATGGTGGTGGTAGCAGCTTGTCTTCAATAGCAAGACATCACTCTCTTTCTCTATACTGACAAGTTCCTTTCAGTTGCTGACATTTGTGAGCATCTACTTCTGAACATACATCTCATACTTCAGCTTCTAGATTCTCTAGATCTTGTGAACGGTGAGAAATTTCACCTAGAACCATTTCAACAAGTGCAGTTCATATAAGCTCTTTTGGATTCTCAGGCTCAAACTGGCTTCTTGGCCAAAGAGGAATTTTGTTCACAAGTAGAGGCTACAATTCAGCTCTCTTTGCAAGATCTTCAGGGGCTGTGGTAGTTGTTCATGTAATCTCTGAACAACCAGTACCAAGATACCTTGCTCCAAAGCCCACCTAGGAAGGGACTTTATAAGCCCACCTAGGAAGGGACTCTATTGATGATGTGTTAGCTAGAGGGGAGGGCATAATGTACACTTCTCAGTTTTCCTTCATCACGGGTGTGATCACCAATGAGGGCTGTGTGAGGTATCCTAACCTGCACACCTACAAGCTTCTGCTTGAAAACTTTTCCTCTAAAATCATTATCCGGTCCTGTCAGGCATGTGAGTGAGGCAGTCCCTACACCATCTACGAGATGTTCTTACTCCTACAAATGTACTAAGTTCACTGATTTCCTCCAGTCTACCACTGTTACAGGCCCAGGAAACTCAAAACCTCTGCAGTTTTTTCTTCAAAAACGATGCAGCTTTCACTGTTGCAGGGCAGCCTTAGGAGGGACTCATTCAGAATCCACCTTCAATTGACCTGTGAACAGGCGAGGAAGCAGCCAGTCTTCTAGTCCACAGATGCAGCAAGTAGTAAAGAGAGCAAAGCAGAGATGGTCAATGATCCAGGACAACCCTGTAGTGAAGAAGTTCCTAAGAGGATATAACAACTTACACTCACTTGTAACTGGACCTACTGCACAGTAGAATCAGCAGCTAGTCTTCTCCCAGTTTTCCAGGAGACCCTTCAGGCCCTTGACCTCTTGTGACCTGAGGTTCCTGGCTTGGAAAACTACTTTCCTGCCAGAACAATGGGAGAACTTTGAGCCCTAAGTGTAAATTAATCTTACTAGATAGTAACTAGGTTTCTATGCTAGTGATGCTCTTAGACCCACAATTTCTCTTGGAAAGCTATGTGGGCTCTGTTCAAGAGTGCCTTTGCCTAGTTTTGACTGGCATGTTGGCTGTGGCCTCTACCTATGGAAGATAAAATTGGTCTCACTGTTGTTTATGTCCATTCATCCCCGCCCCACCCCTGAGGCTGCTTTGCAGAAGCATTTGAGATTATCCTTTCTTTGTAGCAGCATGTCACTTGCAGAACTTACAGAAAATCAGGGTAGCTCCATCCCTGTTGAGATCTTGACAGGCAATCAACACTTTTATTTATGTGAGTTTTTTTTAAAAAACTAGTTTAGTTGCAGTATGAAGTAGTTTTAAAAGAATAGATGTTTTTGTTGTTTTGAGACTACTGATGAATTGAAAGATAAATAGTGAAACTTTGTATAGATAAGGTGCTGTGCTTCATCACATAATAGTCGCGCTCCCCCCCCCTTTTTTAAAAAGTGAGGTAACCATTACTTGAGAAAAAATGTGCATTTGATTCGCAAATTTCTGTGCTTTTTAAATAAATAAATAAATAAATAAATATTTTTGGAAGAGGATGAGGAGGAATGATCCAGCCTCAAACAAATAGCTCAATTTTTGTTTGTTTTTTAAAATTGCAGAACCATTTGGGGTTGATTGTCTTTTTCTTCTTTCTCAGACGTCAAGACAGTTTAAAAACTATAAAATTGAGATCTTTGAAGTTGCTCTCTTGTTTACTCCTTCGAAGTAACACAGTTTTAAAAACCTAAAATTGAGGTCTTTGGAATTCAGATCTTTCATCCTTTCTTCAAATAACTCCAGTGCCGGTTTTGTAAACTGCCTTGCCTTAGAAGGAGGAGGAAGGAAAGAAGAGTGAAGTTTCAGAGACCTTAATTTTGTACTTTTTAAAACTGCCTAGCCTTTGGAGAAAGAAGGAAGGAAATATCAGCCCCAAATGGGGGTGTTTAGTGAATCTTACCTAGTAGGCCGGAAAGGAAGCCTGGATAACAATATGGCAATCCTCCATTTTGAGAGTGTAAGCCAGAGAAGCAGCCATCTTGAGTGAGGATAGTTAGAAGATGCAGACTGTGGCCAGGAAATCAGAAGACGCTTACTTCTTGGGAGGAGAGCAATGTCCAATCTCGATAAAATAGTAAAGAGTAGAGACATCACACTGGCAACAAAGATCCGCATAGTCAAAGCCATGGTATTCCCTGTAGTAACCTACGGATGTGAGAGCTGGACCTTAGGGAAGGCTGAGCGAAGGAAGATAGATGCTTTTGAGCTGTGGTGTTGGAGGAAAGTTTTGAGAGTGCCTTGGACTGCGAGAAGATCCAACCAGTCCATCCTCCAGGAAATAAAGCCCGACTGCTCATTGGAGGGAAGGATACTAGAGACAAAGTTGAAGTACTTTGGCCACATCATGAGGAGACAGCAAAAGCTTAGAGAAGACAATTAAGCTGGGGAAAGTGGAAGGCAAAAGGAAGAGGGGCCGACCAAGGCAAGATGGATGGATGGCATCCTTGAAGTGACTGGACTGACCTTGAAGGAGCTGGGGGTGGTGACGGCCGACAGGGAGCTCTGGCGAGGGCTGGTCCATGAGGTCACGAAGAGTCGGAGACGACTGAATGAATGAACAACAACAGTTTGAAGATGGGAGGAGTTTGAGGTCTCCTGGGATTGGCTAGAGCAGATGGGAGGAGTCAAGTCTTAGGAGGGAAAAGATTTCAGCTTCTGTGGAGAAGAGAATTGGGAGCTGGTGGGAGAAGAAGTGTTTTTGAAACTGGGATTTTAGAGCGAGTGTGTGTGTCAGACAGGGGCTGATTAGCTGACAGGAAAGGCCAGGCCGCAGCCAGATTTCTTATGGGAGATAGCACAAGAGATTAGCTCTCTAGGCTGAGTTAGTTAGCCGGAAGAACTCTGGGAAGAGTTAGCTGATAACTCGGGACTATCGAGGATAGGTTAGTCAGAAACTCGTTACTATTTCTCTGAAGTAGAGTGAGGGATTTTTGTTATTAGCAGCTAGATCTGTTTGATTAGCTCTGTATGTAACTAAGTGAAGAAACTCATTTCAAGCAATCATCAAGCTATAGTATTTTTGTAACGTCAAGCGTTTTAGGATGCAAGTAAAGTGATAAAATATTAGCTTGTTTCTTTCCCCTTGGCAGGGGGAATGGAATATTAACAGATATCTTTCTGCATTCTCAGAGTTCAGGAGTGGAATGTATTGCAGTCTTTATGAAATTGTGGAAAAGGCTAGATCAGGAAGTAATTTGGAAGGATTACTACACAAGCTGGAGACAGACAAACTAGTGAGTATATATATATTATTTACATTCTATGTTGTTATTCTACTGATAAGAGTTCCAAAAATGACATGAGCTTTGTAATAGTACAGAGCACTCTAGTTCTGTACTTTATATACTTTATACTTATAATAGTACTATAAATAAAAATATAGCATGTGATATTTTATACTCTGTAATTTTTTTCTTTGTAGGTTATTGTAAAACCACTTGTAGATGGAGGATATTTATTGCTGCTTTCTCCACATCAGATGGCTTCCCCATATGGTATGCAACATGTCATGTTTCTTCTTTGGGAGATTCAACTTTTTTAAAAAATACACACATTCATTATACTGTGATTTACCTTTTTTTTATCAGAGAACCGAACAGGAAATCCTCGTACCTTGCAAGCATTGTTTCTGTTTCGGAATCCTAGATGTGTTGTGACTTCAGGTAGGTTTCTGTGTTTAATACAGAGTTATATTAATTGTTATGCAATATGTGACCATAATAGTAATGCCTGGGGTTGAAGATAATGACAAAGGCAAGCAGGAGACCGGAAAAACATATCTAGTTTTCATGTCTTTAGTGGGCATGTGGGATGTTGGTTTTTGATATATTACTTTCCAAATTAACAGTGAATTTGTTTTCTGGTTCACAATAGAAGAATGATACAGTAAGTACAGTAATGTAACACCTATTACAGAAAAATCACAAGTAGGGAGGTGTTATTTGGACATTTATTTATAGTGTCACAACAGATATTATTCAGGTACAATTTAAAATTAAAGTGCCCGAAAAGGCTTATTGAAGAACAGACATAATTCTCAAACTGATAGAAATATTAGAGTAATTAATTCTCATAATTCTGTGCAAATATACTTTCTGAAACTTATAAAGGGTTGTTCAATCTAGATGAATAAAAATTGTCCTCCCTATTGTAGTACCCTGTCCAGTTGCAAAAATCAGATCTAGAGGGCTGTAAAACCCAATAGGATTGCTTTTGGAAAAGTTTGGATGGGTGTAGTGGGGGAAATCTCCATGGCAAGTACTAGTGAAACAGTTAGTCACAGGGAGGAAGGGAGCAAGCTTGTTTTCTGCTTTCCTGGAGACTAGGACGTGGAACAATGGCTTCAAACTACAAGAGAGGAGATTCCATCTGAACATGAGGAAGAACTTCCTGACTGTGAGAGCCGTTTAGCAGTGGAACTCTCTGCCCCGGAGTGTGGTGGAGGCTCCTTCTTTGGAGGTTTTTAAACAGAGGCTAGATGGCCATCTGTCAGGGGTGCTTTGAATGCAATATTCCTGCTTCTTGGCAGGGGGTTGGACTGGATGGCCCATGAGGTGTCTTCCAACTCTATGATTCTTGATTCAGTTCTGGCTGGATGCATGTTGCAGCGCGCATGGGGTGTGTACATTTTGTAAACACTATGAGCTGGACTCAAGTTGAATTTTAGTACCTGTGTAGAAGAGTCCTGAGTTTCATTTTTGACTGTGGTAGCCATTTTGTCAGACAAACATTGTACCACCACTTTTTAAAAAAAGTAGCATATGAGAGTTTTCTAGGCCTCTGGACCCAGAGTTTTGGTGCATAGATGACCAAAGTGAAGAAGATGACCTCATAATTCTACTGTTTTGCCAGAAAAATCCTGCTATTGCCCCCCTCCCCCACGTTGTGCAGTAGTTCACACTTTGTAAACCTAGCAAATCCGAATTTCAGTTCCCCCAGTCAGACATTAAACTCACTTGATTATCATGAGCCTTGTGCTGTCTTTCAAGCCGATCTTCGCTAGGTTTTTACAAGAATAGAATATTTGTGGAAAATTCCATTCATTGCTTTTATCGAAGAGCAAAGTAGGATATAAATAGTTTAATGTGTATTAATGGTGTTGCTTGCTTAATACTGATTTTCCCCCTTTTCTTCTTTTATTTTGAATACAGCACACAAAAATGAAATGAAAAATGAAAATACATCAATATTGCAGGAAACACATGTGGTTATGCCAGAATTTACAAGATTTATTCAATCTCTGCATTATGCTTATGTTCAATCCCGTAAAGATCCTAGGTCTGACTTAAATACTGCGGTGGAAAAATACATAAATGATTATCTGAAACGCTATAGTAAATATAAAGAATTCATTTTATTTGACTATAAGGATACCTTGGATGAAAAAAAGCATCTATATCCAGCCCCCAAAAATAAATCCAATATTGACAGTTCTTTGCGTGCCTATATTTTTGGATCTGCCACCTATCAGATCCCTGTTTCTAAAGCCAAAAAACTAATGGATGGTTATCAAAAACCTCAGCAGTTCAGTCCTGTTTCAGATTGTGAAGCAGCAGAAGAAGAGTCTGACTACACAAAGAGAAAAGCCAAGAAACGAAACAATTCTAAAAGTGAAGAAATAGCCGCCAAGAGAAAGCCTAATCATTCTGGGGATTATGATCAAGAAAGTATAAAAGAACTAATTAATTTAATTCAGAGAAAGAAGAAAAATATAGATAACGATTCTGATACAGAAGATAGAATTGAAAACCAACTGAAACGAAAGCTGCAAGGTAAGAGAAGAGTCCACTAAAACATTTGAAAATGCACAATTTTTAAGAACAGAGTTGTTCTTGCGAAGGTAAAAATGACCTTGTTTTTCCAGTCTGTTTCCTTGCTTGTTTCACCAGGAACTTTGGGATTTTTCTTGCATAGGTCTAGCATTAGGAAATGCATTGTGGACTTTGAACTTTCTTAAAGAGGCTCAATAATCAGATTCATTCCAATGTTCATTTGCATTTTGAGTTATGTGAACACATTTCACATGACCTGAAAAATTGCAGAAGGCTTTTAACATATCTTCATATTTTTCTCTTCCGGCTTCTCAAAATTGTAGGTGACAGCACACCAGAAACACTTCATTCAATGATAGCTGATCTTGGTGGACATGATACTGATCTGAGGCAGCAAAATGTTTCTGAGTCTCCAGCTCCTGACTCATCTTTATTGATGCTCCTTTCAAAGATTTTAAGTAATCCAGATTTGCCAGGTTTGATTAAACAATCTTCACCAGAAAATTATTCAGTCCAAGCTGTTGAAAACAACCCAATTCCTGTACAGATTAAAGAAGAACCTCTGTTTCCTGATACTGCACATGTTGAAAATACTCATTTGAAGGATCCCCAAAGTCCGGTCAAGCAGGAAACAGATGCGCCATGTTTGCCTTACTCTGTTGATGTCTCTAGTTGTGAGGCAGACACAACTAATCATATGCGACATTTAAAAGTAAGCATTATGGATATGTAATGTTTTTAAATTTCAGAAGCTTAAGTTTTAAACATCTTGATAACATCCTTTCCCATTGCCCCCCCCCCCCCCCCCCCCCCGTTTATGCAACCAACTTCCATCAGCATCCTGACTATTGTAGGTACTATTGCTGATTGAAGGTTTTTTTTAACAGAACCTTTGAAGTGTATCAGGTTTGGGAAAGGTTCCCTTATGTGAATATGAAATTGAGCCTCCAGCATTTCAACTTCCAGCTTGTGGAGTACATTTGGCCCAGTAAATGCCTTCAACTCTTTTGATAAACTGATAAGAGGAGGAGGATATATTGAGCAAGACCAGTTCAAAATTCTCTTCTATATGGACTTACAGAAATGAAATAGAATAAAAGTAGTATCTTTGAAAAGTTTAGGTTTTTTAAATAGCTCCCAGAATTCCCAGTGACCATAGTGACTGGGTTATTTTTTAGTTTATAGACCTAAAAGTATTTTTGCTGGCTCTAAGAATGGTAGGAAGGCAAGGGTGGTTTACTGTGAAAAAATAGTTGCTTACAAAATAATTATTGTTTTTGCACCCCTTAAATTAAATTAAGTTACATTAAAATAGAAAAAAGCTGCTTTACATTTGGTATTGAAGAATATTACCAGCTGAAATCTCTGTATATTATCCCTGTATGCATAATTAGATTATAGTTTAGTGGAAGGTCTCTAACTTTTGCAAGTTGTATCAGATTTTCTTGTCTCCAGAGATAGGGGCCTCCTATCCCTCTCCTTTGACTTTGTTGCTTTCCTGAACTAGAATAGTCACATATATGGAAATAGAATAGTCACATGTGTGGAAATGAAACCAGTCGATTAGCTTAATCTTATTAATCTAAACAAATAAGTATTATCCAAACAAGTATTTATGAAATACTTAACTTGGAATCTGTTTTAATGAATTTTAAACATGGTTTTTAAATACTGTTTATATTTAATTCTGTTTTAATGTTTTGTATATTTATATATTTTGTATGTTAAGGGCTTTGAATTTCCTAATTTTATGGCGGGGGGGGGGGGGGGCAAATACAGCAAGTGATGCAGGCTTTCATATGCAGAGTTAGTCCAAGAGAAGTGTGTCCATAGGACAGAACTCTATGTAGTGATTGAGTTAGGGCTGTGAAAGGTTCCTGTTTGAAATCTTAAAGAGCCATTGCCAGACATGTACACAGTGCTTAGTATATAAGTTGTTTGTAACTCAAGGGGCTGAGTGCTCAGTGGGTGAACGTACTGACACAGAGATTATCTGGAAAAGACCAGAAGTGGCAGACATCTACAAAGTTTGTAACAAGATGGGAAGTGAATCAATCCTGAGATTATTACTGTCAGTTCTTTCTGGTTCACTCTTGGGTTTTAAAAAAACCCCAAACATTTTTGGGTCTAAAATGACCCACAGGGGATCCACAACATGGCAAAATGCCACTCACAATTTTTTTTTATCTCTGGGATCCACATTCTGCCTATGAGAATCCTCTTACCCCTCCTTCCCCCACACATACAAGTATTAGGTTTGAATTTTCCCGAGGCAAACACCATTAAAATGTTGGACTACAGAGTAAAATATGCAACCTGGAATGTTAATTTTTATGGTAATAAATGGCTTTATTGTTTTTGCATCAAGGTAAAATTGTTCTTTTGTAGACATTTCTAAAATATGTGGCCAAAAACCCATATTGGGCTCATGCACTATTTCTAAAATAGTTTGACATTGAAGTACATAATCGTTAATAGTATTTAATATGACAGAAGTTAATTGAGATTATTATTCATTTATTTAGGACGTAAGCACCGGAAGTGTAAGTAGCTTTGATGGTTGCAGCAGCCCATGTTCTAGTACACCTCTTGAACAGAGCTATCATAGGCAGAATTCCAGCTCAAATAGTATTTCTACAATTGGCATAAATTGGAAACTGATCCCCATTACAGGTAAGCAACAGTTTTAAAAATATACAGTCTTAAATTATGATTATTCAGAGGGGCTATGTATGTTTAATTTATTAAAGTTTTAAAATTATTTTTTTATCTTACAGGTACTCTTTCTGTGTGTTCATAGTAGTAGAAAGTTTGGGTTCTCTGGCGGTACTGAAGTATATTTAAATCTTTTTAATTAGCTATGCAATAAACACTGAGATTAGATAAGCTTGAATTGCACTGTTATATGTAGTTTATTGGGCTGGAATTGGGCATAGGAGGATTTTGTGGCAGAGGAAGTAAAGGAGTGGCCCCAGTGGATCATGGACCACTATTCCCTACCTTGAGTCAGGATGCCTACTATACGTTGCACGAGTAGCTATCTTCTAATTTCCAGAAGCCAACTCTAATCTAGGACAACTTTTTTATCTCTAATCGACTCCTAGGGCTTAAAAACCTGATATAGACATTATTCTGGTCAAAAAGAATGTCCTGCTATACTGTAGATAAAAATGGGATCTGGCAGCCTCACTATTGTGAGAATAGGTGCTCTGGAACAGTTGGCAGCATAGAACATTCAAAGAGATGTCATAAAGAATAAAACTACATGTTGACATTTTATGGCAGCATGACAGAGTTTATGTAATGTTTTAATGAGCTGGAGGTTTTTTCCCCCCCAAGATGTCAGATCTACCTTGAATCCTGTTTTTCTTTCTTATGAGTAAAGCACCAAATATTTTACTACACATCAACATTTAATAGGGTTTCTAAATTTCAGTTGAAATTATTTCATAGTCTAAATTTGGCCCAGAGAGAAGTGGCAGTTGGTCATACCTAGTCTAAAACTAGCCTTAAACTTTTTCCACTCATGACTCCTTTCCACTTGACAAATTTTTACTTGACCCCAGGTATATAGATGCATATGGGTATAAAAATCAAACATTTACTGATAATAAATCAGCATTTGCAAGGCTTGCTCAGAAAGCTGGTTTTTCTTTTTTGTGGATTACAGCTAAAGCATTTTCTTTAGAGTTTGCTGTGAACACTGCATGCTGTTGCTAACAGATTTGCGTACATGGGGCATTCAGAAACCTTTTACTGTTGCCAATTTTTTTTCATGACTCCCAACAATGAGCTAACCATTTGGGGTTGATACCCACAGTTTAAGAAGCAATAGTCTAAAGCATTACATGCAGCCCTAGTCATATCTACAAAATCAAACCAAATAAATCCAAGAATGAACAAAGTACATGTAAGATAGAAAGGAATAACTTTATTATTAACTGATGTTCAAAGTTAGTTGGTGGTAGTGGTGTAATGGAGAGGAGGAGTTCATACATAGATTATTTATGATTGTCATTGCCCAAGAGAGCCAGGGAATCATAGAGTTGACTGGTTGCTTGGTTCTGTTGCCTTTTCTTTTCAGTTTTCTACCCTCTTTTCACCTTGGTCAAAAAGTCTTGTATTGCTTACCAGGCATTTTTACCCCTCCTCCACATCTTACTCTTAATCTGCTGTTAGCTTTCTATTTAACATTTACCTCTTTGTGTCTAATTTCAATTTGGAAAAAACCCATTATCAGTAAACTTCAATGGATGACATCTCTTGAATGGTCAATCTCTTAGTAACAGAGATGCACATCTAATCCTTTTGAATTCTGTTCATGTCCAATATGTTAGCAATCCTTCACAAATGTATTTCATTTGCAAATTTGATCTGGATTCCCTCCATCTTAATAAAAATTATTGAATACTATTGGCACTAGGACAGAATCCTAATATACTCCACACAATATCTCCTTCAAGTTTTAATCACAGGGATTGATAATTACTCTTTCAATACATTTTTTTACATCTGATAATTTTTGTGTGTATCTGTTCTATATTTAATCAGTTTGCTAATAAAAATACTGCGAGGGACCTTATCAAGTGTTTTGCTGAAACCCAGTTAAATTACATCCAGCATCATCCCTGCAGGTCTCTATTTGATATGTTAAGCCACTCTTCAGTTTCAAAGACAACTTCATAAGCACATACCAGTTTTAGATGAGGAAATGAAAACATAGTTTTGCGTTACGTAGTTTTGCTTGATGTCCTAAAGCTGTATCCTCCAGGTTTTATCTCCCCCCCCCCCCCGCCATTTTCTCTGCTGTCCCTAGTACGTGGAAAAAGTAAAAGTGGACCCTATGGCTCCATTCTACTCTTGGAGGTCAAAGRTTTTTTTTTTKTGGGGGGGGGGCAACAACTGGTGGTCTGTGGTAGTCATCACTTGACTTGCTTTTGCAAATACCAATCCTTCACCCAGTCCAGATTGACACTTGCTGGTGTACTTAATTAGGAAAAGGTGTCTTGAAATTCATAGTGCTATCTATATAAAAGTATCTGTGGCTCGTTTGGAGGGCTCCTGAAGTGCTTGGTTGTTCATTTTGCGCATTGTCTTTCTTCCTTGGAGTCAGCATTTGGGGGCAGTCTTGATAGCTATCGTGGATCGGATTAGCCTGTGGTCTGTCCAGCAGTCATCACCTGTCATGGCTCTTGTGAGAAGCACGTCACGGCAGTCTCTGGCATGTATAATTACATAGTCTAAGAGGTGCCAATGCTTGACTGGGGGTGCTTCCATGATGTCTTGAGCTTGTTTTTCTGGTGGAAGAGTGTGTTGGTGATGACAATGTCGTGTTCCGTACATTTGGTGAGAAGGATGCCATTCAAGTTGCTGTTTCCAACCCCGTCTTTTCCTATCGTCCCTGGCCACAAGTTGAAGTCTTGTCCGACTCTTGCATTAAAGTCCCCCAGGAGGATGATTTTGTCCTCCTTAGGTATCTCTGATAGGACGGTGTCCAGCTGATAGTAACATTTTTCCTTGATGTCTTCATCAGCGTCTGTTGTTGGTGCATAGGCACTTACGATGGTTGCCTGTTGGCAAGGTTAATTTGGAGGTTTGAGAGTCGTTCGTTAATGCCAATGGGTGCTTCGGTCAGGTGCTTCACTAGATCATTTCTGATAGCAAAGCCAACTCCGTGCATTCTTTGTTATTATTCAGGCAGTCCCTTCCAGAAGAAGGTGTAGCCTCCTTTTTCTTCCTTCAGCTGTCCTTCTCCTGCTCTCCGGGTCTCCTGAAGTGCAGCTATGTTGATGTTAAAGTGTCCCAGCTCCCTTGCAATGAAAGCAGTCCTGCATTCGGGCCGTTCACTGTCGGTATTATACAACAGTGTCCATACGTTCCATGTTCTAAAGTTCATTTTTCTTTTTTGGCCCCAGGGTGGTGATCCCTCTGGATGTGGCAGTCCAGTCAGGGATAAGAGAGGCAGACTATGTTTAGGGCACCTTTTGTAGTCTCTTCCCCGTGGGGTGAGCAGAGTGGATCCTAAAAAGGGCTGCTCACTCATGGATACAGCTGCCGAACTACTCAATTGCCTCGGACCTTGAAGCAGAACAGCTGAGTCCATATCTACCGCCCATGTGCCAATCTGTGACTAGGGGCTTCCAGATTTCACAGTCCTTCCCCTGTCACCACTGGCTGATCACCATTGGACTTTTTGTTGGTTTGCCAACATTACCAACAGTGCTTTGCACATGCAACGGTGCTTTGCACATACTGTGAAGGTGTGTTTTGAGTTAATTCAAATGAGGAATCCACAGTTATCTGGGCTGCGGCTGCTTTTTCTCTGAGAGGTGTTCTTTTTGGGGTCTGTTATGGGACATCAAGGCCCAGGTGCTCTTTGAAGTCTGTCTGTCTGTTTTTCAATTTGTCATCATTCATCAGACTGTTTTTCATGGATCAGCTGGGAACGAAAACTGAAAAGGAGGGATCCAGAAAATCTAAAATGCTGAAAAGTTATGTTGTCACATGATTCCCTAACTCTCTATGCGTAATGACACATCTACTTAATGTAATCTTTATTTATTTGATTAACTCAGTTTTTGTTAACTGTTACCGTATCTTTTCAAAACATTACAGAATTATTCTGAATATTTAAAACGGAGTGACTAATAGAAAAGAGTAATTCTTCTGAGGCTGGTTTCTCAAGAATTCATTTTTACTGATTTTTTCCCCAGTGGTAATACTTTTTATTGCTATATTATTTAAACCTATTCTGGATCTACTTGCTTTTTGTGGTATTTGCCATTTTTATAGATTATAAAGAAGATTATGTGAAAAGTAGGATAAATTACCATTAATGCCACATTGCATTATTAAAATTCATGAATCAAAGGTTGTTGACAAAACATGGGCATGGAAGCAGCAGTAACATGATTAGGTAACTCAAACTCTAGTACCCCTAAAATAGTTAAAATGGGAATTTCTGTTCTGCTGTTTTTGCTGTTCCAATAGATTTTAAGGAACTCTGCAATTCAAACATTCAGTTGAACAAAAACAATTTCATAATGTCCAAAGATAATAGTAATTAAAAACAATAAGTAGTCTTAAACCATTTAAAGTAGGTTATTTTAAATAGATTTGTAATACTTAAAATGTATGAGAGGATATACGTAATGCATATTGAGAAACTCTAAACTTGCTAACTGCTGCTCTCCCTCAGGAGGGGCAGGAAGAGTTCCTGAGGAACAACTGAGAATGCATGGCGATAACCAAACAGGTGAGAAGGTTGGCCTTCACTGCCTATGCCCTTTGCTGTCCAAATAGGTAGGGAAGAATCTTTTCTTTGTATTGAATTTTTGATGAGAGACTGAGAACCAGTTTGGTCATTTCACATACAGCTTGGAAAATTAATCCACTGAAGCAAGTATATTCAGAGTTTGAAACTTGAGAAGTACAGCCTATTTACGGCATGAATGAGTGAATTTCTGCCTTCTGGATGTTGTTGAGCTGCATTTCCCATCAGCTTTAACCAACAGAGGCAGTGGTGAGGAATCTGAGAGTTAGAGTGCAAGAATATTAGGAAGACTGAACTTTTCCCTGTTCATACTTCATAATGTGTAGATGGGTGTGGCTGTAAAAAATTCTACACCTCTAGATCCAAATAGGAATAGAAGAGCTTTATTTGAAACAACATGCTCTGTTATTGGATTGGCCAACCTTGTGTGACAAAGCAGCTGTTAAATATTGTCATACAAGTATATGTCACATGACATAATAAGATAACATATTAAAGATATCTTATGATGTTATACACCATGTATACAGAATACATATATACTTAATCATTTAACTGCAAATATATACTGTTCTTTAGAGTGCTAGCGCATAATGTGGGAAATCCAGTTTCAGATATATGTAGTTCAAATGGCAGAAGTGGACTGTAATGAACCCTAATGAGCAGGCTTTAAGTAAGGTGTCCCAAAATTTGGGTAGAAGCTTCTTCCATAAGTGAAAGCTACAATTTTCTTGAACCGGCCCAGTTTTGTTGGCCAAGATTACGCTAAAGCCATGAGAATTCAATATATTGCTGAAGTTCCAATATTGTCGAATTGATTTTCTCTTCAAATTTTATGTATGTGAAAACAGTAATGAACTATACATAGCAAGGTGACTACCTTTTTGTCGTCCCATAATCTGTTATGTCTTGGAAGTGTTTGATATAGTAAACATTTCATTCCAAATGGTGCCCTAAGTAAGAGTCTTGTTCGTGGATGTGACACCAGGAATGTTCCTGACATGGAAGAAAGTAAAAAAAAAGACCTGGAAAGATGGCAAAGGATTCAGTTACCCTGGTTGGGAAGAATAGCCACGCTAAAAATGATGATCTTTCTATTTCATAATTTAAAAATAAATTAAGGGAGTGAAGGTCTACGATAAAGGATTTGGTCAAATTTATATGGAATGAAGAAAAGGCTAGAATTGAATATAGGAATCTAATAGATGCCAAAAACAGAGGAATAGTAGCACTTCCAGATCGTAGATACAGTTATGAAGCCCCAGGCTTTAGATGGTTAAAGGACTGGATAAAATTAGAAAATTGAGCTTTACTCAGTTTAGAAGGGTATAATCTAAGAGTGGGATGGCATGCCTATTTATGGTATGGAAAAGATAAGGCTAACAAAGACTTTAATTGGCATCCAATAAGAGCTAGCCTTTTAAAGAAGTGGTAAAGATATAAGGAAGGGATGGAGCAAAAAAACCCTGGAAGCAGTGTTAAAACCAATATATAATAAGGAATTGAGAACTTAATAGGGAACACCTAATGGAAGAAAAAGGACAATGGGAATTAAATGAGAAAGTAGAGTTAAGGATAAATGACAGGTTTCAGTATTATCAACTACAGGATATATTTAGGAAAGACATAAAAACTGGGTTCACCAAAATGAAATTGGTGGTTGGAGAATTATTTTGGAGAAAGAGAATAAAGGATTGATCTCCAGGTTATAAAAATATATTCTAGAGTATAACCTGGAAGATAATCAAGCAAAACAAGTATTGATTTCCCGGGACAGAGCATTAGCGAAAAATAAAGATTTGAATAATTGGAAATACTTATGGAAAAAAGGTTTAAATTTTCAATAGTTGGGTCCACTATATAACTCCTGAATTAATGACTAAAATTGATAAAAAAAAAATCTAATGGAGGGAATGTTGGAAATGCAGAAAGACTCCTTCCATGTTTGGTGAACCTGTAAGGAGGTAAAAGGTGATGGAAGAAACTAATAAAATGATTTCTAAAAAGATTAAGGAAAACCCAGAAATTTGTCTGTTGGACTTGTTTCAAGAGAGAATTGGTAAAAAAGATGAGGAAATTTGGTTGTAGGTTTTTTCAGGTTGTATGACCATGTTCTAGAAGCATTCTCTCCTGATGTTTCACCTGCATCTGTGGCAAGCATCCTCAGAGGTTGCTTGCCACAGATGTAGGCGAAACGTCAGGAGAGAATTCTTCTAGAACATGCCCATACAACCTGAAAAAACCTACAACAACCCAGTGATTCCGGCCATGAAAGCCTTCAACAATACATGAGGAAATTTGACAGTACAGTTTTGTGGCAGTGAGAATTACAATAGCAAAGTCTTGGAAGGGGGAAAAAGAACTACTTATTAAGCATTGGAGAAGGAAATGAATGTGAGTATATTCAAATGGCCAAGCTCTCCAGTGGCAAAGGGGAGGAAACAATGAAAAGTTCGCTAGAAAATGAAGACTTGCCTTTGGGTATTGAAAAAAGAAACAAAATTAGATTTTGAAATAACTGCACAGGGAATTTATTAGTATAATGATAAGGATAGAGTTTTGTTAGATACAAGTTCCATATGGTGTGGTGTTGGAAGTCTTGGGTAATGGTTCACAGGTGGGAATGGGGTGGTGGTGGGATCAGGGAAATAATATTTGTATTTTGATGGTTGAATTTTGTAGGCTGTATACTTTTTCACATAAAAATAAAAGTTTTTTTAAAAAAATGAAAGTAGCCTTCCTCAAAAAAGCACAGCAAACTTGTTTTTCGAATAGGCAGGTTGGGACGCTTATTTGGATGCATTCACTCACCATCTGATGGTATTACTCAAATTGGTTTACTCTCTTTAAATTATATTGTATATTCACATTCTGCTTTTAATAGCACTGCTACTTCATAAATCTCACAATTGCCAAAAGCCTCAATTATTATTATAACAAAAGCAATAAACAAATCCCAGTTTAGTGTATTGTCGAAGGCTTTCATGGCTGGAATCACTAGGTTCTTGTGGGTTTTTTTGGGCTATAGGGCCATGTTCTAGAGGCATTTCTCCTGACGTTTCGCCTGCATCTATGGAAGCATCCTCAGAGGTATGCTTGCCATAGATGCAAGCGAAATGTCAGGAGAAACATCAGGAGATACTACCTCTGAGGATGCTTGCCATAGATGCAGGTGAAACGTCAGGAGAAATGCCTCTAGAACATGGCCCTATAGCCCGAAAAAACCCACAAGAACCTAGAAATCCCAGCTTTTCTTGAAGTTGGATAAATATTTCTCCTTAGTCATCCTAGTCAGTTTGTCTAATGCACAAAGCTTCAACAATCATTATTGTCACTTTCTTCTTCTCTTCTCTGTATACTTTTTCTTTTCTTTTCTTCTCTTCCAGCTGATACGTATTGGTCATGTTTCCATATCTCTTCATCAACGTATTCAGTTGGTGTAGAGTCAGATCACGAATCTGTGATCTTACAAAATTAACCATCACATCTGCTGTTCTAGAAGGCCTGTGGCTCTCGTGAAATTCTCCCCTATCTTGAGATCTGTCATTGGTACTTTTGAAAATTCTTTCTTCTTGTTCTTCCCTGAAATGTCTGCCTGATTCTGGGCCCTGAATTTGAGTTTCACTGATTTCTGGCCTGCCTGAGTTAGCTCCCCAGTCAATAGGAGCCCTAGTCTTGATCTGCGTGTTTTCCCACAGTGAGGACATCAGTTTCCAGACAGAAGGCATTCCTGGTCAGGGTTGGCTTGACGTGCCTTCCTCTTGGCACGTTTCCCCCTTTCACCCTCCATTCGTGCCTCTTTGAAATCTACAACACTGCTGGCCACAGCCGACCTCCAGTTAGAGCGCTCAAGGGTCAAGACTTCCCAGTTCTCAGTGTCTGCCACAGTTTTTGAGGTTGGCTTTAAGCCCATCTTTAAATCTCTTTTCCTGTCCACCAACATTCCGTTTTCCGTTCTTGAGTTCGGAGTAGAGTAACAGCTTTGGGAGACAGTGATTGGGCATTCGGACAAAGTGGCCAGTCCAGCGGAGTTGATGGTGGAGGAGCATCACTTCAATGCTGGTGGTCTTTGCTTCTTTCAGCACGCTGATATTTGTCTACCTGTCTTCCCAAGAGATTTGCAATATTTTTTGGAGGCAGCACTGATGGATCGTTCCAGGAGTTGGCGTATGACGTCTGTAGACAGTTCACGCTTCACAGGCACATAGCAGGTTTGGGAGGACAGTGTCTTTATAAACAAACACCTTGGTATCCCTATGGATATCCTGGTCCTCAAACACTCTCTGCTTCATTCGGAAGAAGGTTGCACTTGCAGATCTCAGGTGGTGTTGCATTTCAGTGTCAGTGTTGACTTTTATGGAGAAGTAGCTGCCAACGTAACGGAAATGGTCAACATTTTCTAATGTTACACCATTAAGCTGTATTTCTGGCATTGGAGAGGGCTTGGGTGGTGACTGCTGGAAGAGGACTTTGGTTTTCTCGATGTTCAGTGAAAGGCTGAGCTTCTTGTATGCTTCTGCAAAGGTGTTTAGAGTGGCTTGTAGGTCTTAAGAATGTGCACAGACAACATTGTCATCAGCATATTGGAGTTCTATAACATCAGTCCGGTCCTTTCTCATAATCTTCAATTGATCTAAAATTTTGAGTTTGTTTAGTTGTTTTGTTGATCCATGAACGCTCAGGCTTCTTTAAGAGCTATTTACCTTGAAATCATTTAGATTACTAGTTGATCTAAAATATCAAGGATATACTGCATCAGTTTTGCTTAAAAGCATGATGGAACTGCAGTGTAAATTCTTTTTCATTCTCTTTCCAATGTTTGGTTGTGCTGCCTTTTTACATCTGGGAAAACATGTTACGGTTGAATGTGTTTGAATGTAAAGTAAACAGTAAAAGCCACAGAGTCTTGAACTCTTTGTTGATCACATAGTTTATTACTAAGTCCAATCTTTCATGTTTTCTTAGTCTTTTGTTATTAAGTG